CTCAGGTTTGTTTACGTTCACCCGGAAGTAGAACTTCTTCTTCGGTGGTTTTTTTAAGGAGAGTTTACCACTCTGCGCATGTCAGTACTGCTGTTCAGAACAAAGCCCGCTGCATGTAAACGCTCATCATGAACAGATTGTGCCCATGTAAACAACACATTTGAATTATTCAAACAGAACACATTTCAATCCGGTCAAAGAATTCTGCGCATGTAAACATAGCTATTGAGAGATTCAGGTTATAAGGCTGATTGAGATAAGACACACACACATATGTAGATTGGCAATTCACACCTAAACACCTTAACAGTAAGAGTCTTTTGTTCCTCTACTTCACAGACGAGGCCCCTCTGTTCCCATCAGGTGTGAAAACCGGCTGGGAATCTGTTTTAAAGTTGCATTATAGGTTTTTGAAAGTGGAAGTCTGAGGCCTCCTCCTCTGTTAAGAGACGGCTTTTCTCTTTTTACATAAATTGCTTCCTTCACCCCCTTCTCAAACCATCTGTGTTCTTGGTCCAAAATGTGCACATTTTGGTCCTCAAAAGAGTGTCCCTTATCTGTGAGGTGGAGGTGAACAGCTGAATTTTGTCCAGAGGATGTGGCTCTCCTGTGTTGAGCCATGCGTCTGTGAAGAGGCTGTTTAGTTTCTCCAATGTAGAGGTCTGGACAGTCCTCGCTGCACTGGACCGCGTACACTACACCACTCTCTTTGTGTATGGGTGTTTTGTCTTTAGGGTGGACCAGCCTCTGTCTGACGGTCCTGCTGGGTTTGAAATGTACTGGGATCTTGTTTGTTGAAAATCCTTCTGAATTTCTCTGATACTCCAGCAACATAAGGGATGACAATGTTTTTACGTCCGTTCTCCTTTTTCTGTTTATTAATGTGTTTTGTAGATTTCCTCACTGACTTGACAAAAGCCCAGTTAGGATATCCACATGTTTGAAGAGCTTCTTGGATGTGTTTCTGTTCCTTTTTCTTACCTTCTGTCTTCGAGGGGACGCATTCGGCCCGATGTTGTAAAGTTCTGATGACAGAGAGTTTGTGTTCCAGTGGATGGTGGGAGTCAAACAGAAGATACTGGTCGGTGTGGGTTGGTTTTCTGTAAACTTCAATGTTGAGGCTGTCCTCTCTCTCCATCTGAACCAAACAGTCCAAAAAAGGCAGTTTGTTGTCGTTTGCATCCTCTCTGGTGAACTTGATGTTGTTATCGACCGAGTTAATGTGTCTGGTGAACGCTTCTATTTCCTTGGCTTGGATTTTGACCCAGGTGTCATCCACATAACGGAACCAATGGCTAGGCGCTGTTCCCTCATAGGAGTTTAGGGCTCTCTGTTCCACTTCCTCCATGTAGAGATTGGCAACAGTGGGTGACACTGGAGATCCCATGGCACAGCCGTGCTTCTGTCTGTAAAAACTGTCATTGAACTTGAAATAAGTGGTGGAGAGGCAGAGATCCAACAGGGTGCAGATCTGGTCTGGGGTGAAGTTGGTCCTGTTGATTAAGTCCTTGTCTTGTAAAAGTTGTTTTCTGACGGTTTATACTGCTTCAGAGATGGGTATGCATGTGAAAAGAGAAGTCGCATCATACGATACAAGGGTTTCTCCTGGGGTTAATTTCAAGTGTTGAACTTTGTTAGCAAAATCAATGGAGTTCTTTATGTGATGAGGCGTGTTTCCAACAAGAGGAGCTAAAATACCAGCCAGATGTTTAGCAATATTGTATGTCACTGAGTTCATTCTGCTGACGGTGGGTCTGAGTGGTGTTCCTTCTTTATGTATTTTTGGAAGTCCATAAAGACAGGGAGTGGCTTCCCCTGGGTACAATCTATAATACAACGATCGATTGATTGTTTTCTCCTTTTCAAGTTTTTGCAGGTAATCTGTGACTTTCTTTTTGTAGACACTGGTCGGGTCCCTCCTCAGGGTCTTGTAGGTGTTGCTGTCGCTCAGTAGTGTAGTTATTTTTTCCCGGTAATCAGAAGTGTTGAGGACTACTGTGCATCTTCCTTTATCAGCTGGTAAAATGGTGATGTTTTGGTCCTAGCTGAGTGATGTTACAGCTTTCCTTTCCTGTGGTGTGAGGTTTGAAGGAGGCGGTTTGGCACTGGAGAGGGTTGCTGATATTTTCATTCTGAGTTTGTTCTGCCTCTCCTTCCGTCAAGTTGTTGTTCCTAATCGCGGATTCAGTGGCCGTGATTAGTTCCACAACAGGTATTTCTTGTAGGGAGATGGCAAAGTTTAGTCCTTTTGTCAGCACATCTTTCTCAGGTTGTGTCAATGTCCTGTTAGACAAATTTCTAATGCACTGGTCCTGAAAATCAGGACAGAGATTTATCTTCCAACAAGACAATGATCCAAAACATAAAGCCAAATCTACAATGGAATGGTTCACAAATAAACGTATCCAGGTGTTGGAATGGCCAAGTCAAAGTCCAGACCTGAATTCAATCGAGAATCTGTGGAAAGAGCTGAAGACTGCTGTTCACAAACGCTCTCCATCCAACCTCATTGAGCTCAAGCTGTTTTGCAGGAAGAATGGGCAAGAATTTCAGTCTGTCCATGTGCAAAACTGATAGAGACATACCCCAAGAGACTTGCAGCTGTAATTGCAGCAAAAGGCGGCACTACAAAGTATTAACGCAAGGGGGCCGAATAATATTGCACGCCCCACTTTTCAGTTTTTTATTTGTTAAAAAAGTTTGACACATCCAATAAATTTCATTTCACTTCACGATTGTGTCCCACTTGTTGATTCTTCACAAAAAATAAAAAATGTATATCTTTATGTTTGAAGCCTGAAATGTGGCAAAAGGTTGAAAAGTTCAAGGGGGCCGAATACTTTGGCAAGGCACTGTATATATGCATATATATATACCGGTGTTTGTGTGTATGTATTAGGAATGCGCAATATAAACGGTACACGGTAGAAACGATAGAAATTTAGCTTACGATAGAGATCTGTCTTCTACCGGCTAACCGCAGTAATGCTGTGTCTCATGTCAAATCAGAGTTGTCAGTTTAATCGTTACTTTTTTTGAGCTGAAAGCTGTGCACAAGTGGCGGTAAAGTCTTTTCTTCGAGAGCTAAGTAGCGAAGCTACAAGCTAACTACAGCCATGTTGCAGTAGTGTTGCCGTATTCTGATGCATGCACAAAACACTGTGTTCCGTCGAAAGTTTTTTTGTTTGTTTTTTTCCATCGAAAGTTAATGTAAGCGTTGGTCTGCTTTAGAGAAACCTGCTCTCTGATCTGTGAAAAGAACGCTGTTGTTTGATTTTACTGCGAGACCCTCGGGCCAAGCCACAGACTCATTTTGTGTCAGCTCTCCATTAAAGCAAAAGGAGACACCCACTAGAGGTTTGGAGGGTGAAGTGTTTCAGTGTAAAATGCTGTTCTGTTGCTGTTCATTTCTTAAGTAAGACTGGAAACTGTTAAGAGTTAACAACATATTTTTTTGTTTAAAACGTTGGTTATGTACTGTAACCCCAGATTCTATGAGTATAGGCGTAGCCCTTTAAGGCTGTCGCTGGTGGGTTTATCCCGTCATGCAAAGCATCGCACTGGAAAAAATTAGTCCACGCCCACCTGTTGTGTGGGCCCCACCCGGTTCATCTAAATTACAGTAAGAGCGGGTAATCGGCTCCCAAATAGCTTTTTCTTCAGTCATTTAGGAGCCAGTGAGGCCCGACGCTTAAAGGGCTATGCCTATACTCATAGAATCTGGGGTTACAGTACGTAACCATCATTCTATTTTGTAAAGGCTTCGCCCTTTAA